TCCTTCCCCTGCGATGACCGCCACTGCTGCCGCTCGCGCATTCGGCCACTCCCCACTGCTAAGAGCGAATGGGTCCTCCATCATCCTCTCCATTGTCTCCATCATATCCTGCACAGTCTTTGCCGTAGGAAATCGGTCCCACAGCCCTGCATTTAGTCATGACTCTGCTTTAGTTTTTTCCATTTGAGATTCTATTTGTTCCCAACAAAAGATGTATCAAGAAATTACATAGTCAATCTTCGAATGCAATGTTTCAGATGTCAAATCCCTCTTAACCAGGAAACAAAATAACATTAAACCAAAAGACCTTTATCCCATAATTTCTTAGGAAATACACAGCATAATAAATTGACCATTTCAGGGAATGTTTTGAGCAATCTAAAAGACTACCCCTGGTACCGAAAACTGATAACCAGACAAATAAAAAAAAAAATTACATGGCTTTAGAATATGTAATATGATTATGCAATTGAAGCATGTCCTTGTATTTTACACAATTTGTAAGAGGAATTAAGCAAGTCAGCGGTTTACCTCCGGGTGGAGCGACTCTTGTTCTAGGGTGGGAAGGGTCCTTGTGTGGTCTTTGAAGATGGCTAAGTTGGTCTTGATATCTCCAGTGGCCACAACCTGACAGGCATGAAGGACCGTGTAAACTGAAAGAGGACCTCGGTGAAGAAGAAGATAATGACGATGATGAGCCATATGGCGAGCGAAGATGAACTCCGAAACTTGAGGATAAAGCCTGAGTCATATTCTATAATGTAACCGTCAACAAATGAAATGCTTACAACTCTACCAAAGCCAGAAATAAGATTCACAGGTTAGCAGAGAGAAATTGTAATATATAAAGGGAAGGGGGGGTGAAATTTTCAAAATTGATTTGCAGGGCAGTGAGGGATAAGGATTTGTGAGATATAAGGAAGTGAAACAGAAACGAGAGAAATATGGGGCCGCAAGGAAGCAATGAAAACAAAAAACAGAGGGTTCTCGAAAGCTCGACGTGGACTTGAGTTTTCACATTCTAGATGTATCCAGAAACGCCTTATCGCAAAGATTTAGGGGTCCTCTCTCATACTAACCGCAGGCTTGTTCGTTTTTGCTTCACCCAAAAGGCCTACGGTCATCATGAACTTATAACTACATGTCAATTTTGTCCCACCATTTGAAATCTGAACCTCATGCCCCTGAGACGGTGAGACTAATGCACACTCTTGTCTTCTATAGTTTTAGTTAGCAAGTCCCACCCGCTGGCATTTTTACTTTTATACCCATTCCTCTAACCACTCTTTGCACGAATTCGGTTTCGATGCTCATCATTCAAAAAATTTAAGCCATCTAGATTGGTCCAGATTTTTTCAATTTTAATTTTAATTTTATATTTTATAAAAAAAAATTTAATAAATTTTTTTGTAAATATATTTATCATCATTCTGATCAGTACTGATTTAATTTGAAATGGTTCAATTTAATATTATAAATTTTCATAAATTGACTATCTAGATGTACTCTAAACATTCTAAATTCAATACTAAATTTTTTATCTGCAAGGTCTAGATTTAAATTTTTATTTTTTATTTTATATTTATTAAAATAAAAAATTGTTAAAAATTTTAATAAAATAAAAAATTATTAAAAAATTTGATATTGAATCTATCTTGTCTAGAATACATCTAGATAGTCAGTTTATAAAAAATATAATATTAAATTGATACTCAAAATCTCAGATTGAATCAATATTGTTCATATTGATGATGAATATATTTATCAAAAAATTTTATAAATTTTATCTTTATAAAATTAAATTAAAATTGAAAAACTCTAGACTATCTAAATTAAAATCTAAATGGTCCAAATCTTTCTAGATGATGAGTATCGAAACTAAATCCCTCTCTACATCTCCCTTTAGCCCTATTTAGTTACAGGGAAGAGGAGGGGAGGACAAGAAAATTTTAAAAAAATTTTCTTCCCCCCCCCCCACCCTAACTTATCAAACAAAGGGAGGGGACCTCCCCTCCCTTTGTCCCATCTAAACAGGGAAGGGGAGGGCTCCCCTCCCACCTCAGGGAAGGGAGATTTTTTAAAATCTTTCCCTCTTATCCCCTTCTCTTCTCTCCCTTCTAACCAAACACTACTTCAATGATTCATTTTTATTTTGCTTTTTACACTCTCAAATACCTTTGTACTTGATATCTTCTCATCTCTCACCCCTCTATATATGCTTCTAGTCATATTTAACACTCTAAAATTTCAATTTAACTTTTCGTGAAAATATGATTAAATAATTAAATCTTAATTATTAAGCATTTATAATGGTAGAAAAGTATTTACTATGATACATAAATGTTATCATGGTAGAAAGGGTTTAAATATCATTTCAAACTCCACCATGATAGAAAAGAGTCCACAATGATACTAAAGAGTTAATTTATTTTATAAAGTTTATTATAGTAGAAAAGAGTTTTTCTTACAATAAAATATTTTCAAAATAGACTACCATGACCAAAAATGTTTAAACAAAACAAAATAAACCCTCCTATTTTAAGAACTAAGTAAGTTACATAAATAATAATCAATGGAAAAGAGAATATTAAATAAAATGAACCTAATGGGATTCCATTGAAAACCAATATTCAAAATCCACTATTTGATTTAAAATCATAAATAAGCATAAAGCATTGTTCCCATGACAGTTTTAAATTCAAATATTGTATTAATCACAAATAATAGTTGACAAAGTGACTCAAGTATACATCCATGATAAGTACATTAAACTCTGGTCAAGAAGACCACACTTTCAAACAAAATTTAATTATCAATACCCAACATGGGTCCAAACAATACTTTACACAGTTTGCTAACATTACACAACTAGAGTTCTCACAATGGTGTACACTTGGCTACGATACAACTACATCAAACATCATATCATAAAACACATTATAAACATGTATGAAGAAAAATTATAGTTAGATTACAACCAAACCAATACATGCACACTCAAGGCGAAATTGATAAAAAAATTATCAAATCTCTAAAATATAATTTAATACTTTAGTCAAATCAAAGGAGACCATCATTGTCATACACCAATTTCATGGCTACAGTTTAAGTGAGTCATATTAAGTCAAAAGTCACATTATGTTCTAAATAATGTGTTTTAAAGTTGGCAATTATACATTACTAACAAAAATGAGGCATAACATAGATAAAGTGGTGTCTCATACACCAAATGTAAGCCTTAGGTGTTCCTTTGACTTGTCCAGCTCTCGTAAAAATATTAATCACGAGAAATGAAATATAAAGGTCATAGTAATCAATACTAAAATGTTACAATGCATGCAATGCAATTATTCATGCAATTGCTAAGTGGGGAAACAAGATTATTTTTCAAACATATGTTATTTAATAATCCAAACAAAATATTTGGCATTACAATACCTTATCCCCTTCATACATCATGCCCGGCACCAAGTCACCTGGTCAAAGGTGATTGCTTCAAACATAAGCCACTTATTGGGTCTATTAAAAAGTCTTACCACATGATAGATATAATCTTTGAACAAATCTCTAATATCACATATTTCAAAACAAACCCAACAAGTCATGCATCAAGAGTTTTCCAAACAAAAATATTTTGAATGTAAATCATGTTTTTGAAAATGTTCTTTCTAATATAAATATTTTTCAACCAATAATTGATTTCAATAAAACACACATAATCGGTCACAAGCACATACATAATAAATATAATAAGAATTACCTTTACTCAAGCAATTAAAGTTTTTTGAACAAGTGATTTCTCACCACCAATACTTTCAACATCTCCAAAATTCATTTAGCAAAAATCTAACATAACAATTTAGGGTTGAACTCATAATCATCAAGTTCAAATTTCAACCCCAAAATCATGCTTTAAAACATCCATTACACTTTCATTAACCTCAACAGCTAGATTCAATGCCCACAAATTGAATCTTAACCCCATAAAAAAACCTAACTAAAAAAATCATCTCCAAATCTAAAGGAAAATTAGGTAAAATAGAGAGAAATGGCTAGAACTTACTTCAAGTGATTCCTAGGCTTGAAAACCACTTGAACCCACTGAATTTTCATACCTTATATATAGAGCTCTTGCCTTTTTGTTTCCAGTTTTTCTCGCACAACTGATCTGATTTCTTGACAGGGATTGTTAAATGTGTCCTATGTCCACGTGCAATTGATCCTTCACATTTCATGTTCGTGCAAGGTCATAGCCACTTAAGGCAGTCTCACCTTCTCTATTGATGTCCACAAGCAGTCAAAAGCAAAGTGGACAGATCCTACTTAAACCTCCTCTCATTGGGCCTGACTGAAAGCCAAATACCTATTTTTGACTTCCAAACACCCTCATCATGACCTTAATCCTAAATTAATCATTTATTAAGCACCCTATCATGCAATTACCCTCAAGTCACCTCAGTTAAGTGTGCTTTTACCATCAAATCCTCAATTATTCATATTTCCCTCTGATTATTTTTCTAGTTTAAAATTAGGATGTTACCTCATGCCTCACTCTTGTCCTGCCATTTTCCAGCAAACCTCCGACCGTGGCCACTTCTACTTGCCCTGGGCCCCGATAACTTTCGCGGCTCCGTCCATCGCCTCAAATCCCCCCTTAACGACAACCGCAATGATGACAAGTGGTTCTACGTCATGTCCTTGACCCGCACTTCCCCCTCGTCCCTCGTTTCCCTTCCCCTCCTCCCTCCCCGCCAAGGCCTCTCTCTCGTCTTCCTACTCTCTCCTCTCTTTGAACTAACCAGCGCTACCACTATCAGGGCCACCGGTCAATAAATGATGGTGTTCAGGGTATGGATGAACACTAGCACGCCAAGAGAATGGAATAGTTGCTAAAAGAAAAAATGGCGAAGGAAGATGAACCAAGAGAAACCAAGTGCAGAGGTGGCCATGGGGGAAAGTTTGCAGCAAAAATTTGAGATTCGAATAAGCATGGAGCTCGAATGTGGCTGGGCACTTTCAACACAGCAGAAGGAGCGGCGAGAACCTATGATTGTGCAGCTTTCGGGATGAGAGGGTTCATTGGCCATTGTGAACTTCCTAGAAGCAGCATCAGAATCGCTGTTCCTCGTCGTCTTCAATGGTGGAAACCCAGGGATAGAAGACGATTGTTTGGATGATAAATTGTTTAGAGAGCTTCTTGATCATACGACGAGGTAGGAAGAGTAAAGGGCATGGTTCATTGTTGGGGAGTTCACTCACTTCTGCTGGAAGACACTTCATCTTCATGGTTAATTGGCTGGGGGAGAGAGAGAGGGGAGATGGAGAAAGTGGTGATGAAATGGCTGAAGTTTCTTGCATGTCCAAGTGAAAGCGCCCAATGATATTGATGAAGAAGACATAGGGACTAATTGATGGAATTAAAGCTAGGACATGATTGCTTCTGCAAATCATTAACTGGTATTTATACTGCTCAGGTGGGGAGAGAGAGAGAGAGAGAAGAGGCAGATTTGGAGGAGTGAGAGACACATTAACTTTTTTTTATATTATAAAAAATATTAGTAGGACTTATGATATAATATTTTATAATAAAAATATTAAAATGTGTTAAATGCGGGATCCAAATAATGGGAATAATGCCAAGGCGTTTAGGGATGAGTTTCTAACATTGAAGCTAAAAGTGACTTATAGTTATAGTTGAAGTTAAGTTGATCATAAATTTTTTAGATAAAATTAATAGACAAAAATAATCCTTAACTTAAGAATAATATCCATTTGATATTTCTCTTTATATATATATAACTCATCATATATGTTTTCCTTTTACTTTACTTAAAACACAAATTCATCTTAAATTTGAGAAATTCATCTTTTTTATATTTCTTGACTAAGTGTGACATTTCATTGATTTTATAATAAATTAATGGAAAAAATTATCAATATAATTTTTTTGCCAAGATATCAAATAGATACTTTATGATCCAATTTATAGAAAAAGAGAGATTATTTATTTTGATCCTATTTATAGATACTTTAATGATTATTGTATTCATCTTTACCTTTTTGTCCCTATTGAATGGTGGGAATGCTATTAAATGCTAGAATATTTCATTTTTGAAGTATGTATAGTTAATATGGATAAAATTAAAAAATTTATGAATTTTTAGATAAAATGAATGAAATTTAAGATTTTTTTTTAGTATTGGTTAAAATGTTTGAAGTGACTATAAATATGACCAGATGAAGTATTTTACATGGTTGAGTCCATCATAAATGTTACCTTCAATGAGTTTCTTGTTGTCTCTGGTTATTAATTTGTTATTTAGAGGACTTAATCAGTATTAATTTTTTTATATATTATTTATATTTATTTGAATTTTTGAGATCTTGTTCTATAAGTTTTAGATTTTTTATATAATTTCTATAGGCCAATTAACAATTAAAATTAATCTCTATTAATGGCAAGGATGCATTGTCCTCCCCATTTTCAAATTATAAATAATTTTGGAGGTATTTCGTTGCCCCACAATATAAAACAATTTCACAAAGATAATGTTTCTTTAATGATGCATTCTCAATACTACTTTCCAAGTGGAGAGACAATTGAAATGATTGTAGTGTCCTTCTTTAATATTATTTATAATTAGTTTTAATATATTTTATTAGAGTAATGAAAAACCTTAAAAATTCTTTAACAATGGTCTAAAAATTTACAAAATTTTTAACTTTATTTTATTAAATATACATACTTTAATAATATATTTTCTCTCTCCAACATTCAATGGAAGGTAAAAGGATAATTTATAATAAAAATTTAATGACATAACTTATAAATAAAATAAAAAATTTCTCTCTATGTTATAAATAGGATCAGAGGGAGTAATAATTAAGTGTGCATATTTAAAGCAATATTAAATGGAAGGTATTTTTAAAGTTTGATTGCATATTTACAAAATAGTTTTTTTCCTTTTGAAAAAAATGAAAAAAATTATTTAAAAATGTGTTTTCTGTTATTTGTTCTGAAAAATAAAAAAAGTTAAAAGTTATTGAGAAGACCTAAAAGCCAGGACATTCTTTAGACATTTTGTTATTTTTTGTTTCGCAAAACTAAAGAGAAGTCATGAAATATCATGTCTTCATTAATGTCAATTATGTTAATAAAATAAATTAATTTTTTATCTTTTATTTTATCAATTTAGATACTCTCTCTTCATTAAAAAATATAAGATATTTTTAAATAAATTTCACCTCTAATAAAATAGTTACCTACTTTTAAACTAACCATATCTTTTTATATTTATCCTTATTAAACACCTTACAATAATATAAAGTTATTTAATAGGGATACTTTTAAGAAAAACAATAATTACAGCTTGAAAGATTAAAAATATCTTATATTTTTAAATATCTAACTCCTTAAAAAATGTCTTATATTTTAACAAAGGAGTTTGCTTTTCAAAATAATGATTCAATCATATTTTTTCATTTTTTATTTTTAAAAACTTGTTTTGAAAAACTACTCTACATAATTATTTGAATAACATAAAAACAGGAAACAAAAATCAAACAAGTCCTATATTTTTATGTTAAAAAAATTTATAAAGTATCATTATTGTATTTTATTGTTATGCATAATCTTGTATTAAACTCTCTATAATTTAGGACAGAGATGGTATTTATTATATCCCTATTATCACCATTCCATGGTTAAGATGTATGACATCTTAATATCTATTATACCCTTATCATCATCATTTAATATTCTCTCTATCCCAATTTATAATATATTTTTAAATAAAATTATACATAAAATTATTAAATACACTTTATAACTTTATTTTTAAAATAAAAATAAAAATTTTTAAAAATACTTTTTATTTAATAATCTTAAAATGAGAATCTCAGAATTAATTCTCAAACACTCCATCCAATGCATAAGGAATCCGCCTAATTAAACAAAGACCTCAGAAAGAGTCATGATGCTAATTACTTTTTGGGGATCAAAATGAGCAGAGCGAAGTCACTGAATTTGAAGAAAAACAATTAATCTATAAGTTATCATAATTTTTTCTCAATTTTATATTAGATTTTTTATTTTTTTAATCAATTTTTTATAATTTAATCAATTAGATATATTAATCTTTGAAGATTAAAATTTCTAATGACTAATTAACTTTTACAAAAAAACAATTTTAAAATTTATAGAAAATTTGATATAATACTTTTGGTAAAAAAAATTGATTTAATATATTATTGACATTTTTATTAATTTTTTATGAAAATTATATTTGCATAAAAATTAGTTAGAAAATATAACCTAATCATATAAATTTTGAGTAATAAAAACTATACAATAACTCTAAAATTTTATAATCTAGTTCTTAATTTTAATTTTACTTCAGATTGTTAAATCTGATAGATTTTTTTTTTTTTTGCCAAAGAAACCTGATAGATTTAACTATAAGGATTCAAATAAAACAAAATCAAATGTAAAGATCTAATTTAAAATTAAGATAAATTATAAAAATTTATAGATTAATTTAAAAAGAAAAAGAAAAAAAAAAAAAGACAGACTTGATCAAGCTCCTAAGATTATGGCGTAACCTGACCTGTTTAAATAGTCCAAAATCGAAGTCTATTTAGATGCTTATATGCCTAAACAATTAAGCTTAGTTTTTCAAAGCCTGCAAACCTTATCTATCTATCCATTATCCTTTTTTTTTATATATATAAAAAAAATTAAATGAGTTGGATCGGACTCCTCCTTCAGGAATTATTCTAAATTATAATTATAAATTACATATATCATATGTAATTTAGTGGCATTTTAATTTAATTTATTTTGATTTCTTCTGGTAAAAAAAAAAAAGGTATTTTGATTTCTGAAGGAAAAAAAAGGTAATTTGATTTCATTCCCTAACCTAATATTCCAGTCTGAGCTCTTCGGACCTTCCGCTTCCGGTTGCTGTCAATCCTTCCACCGTTGCCTCCTTCAGATCTGTGAAATCTCAGGATTCGTCCTTGGCTGCCGTTGCTCGTCCTTGTTTAAAGCACTGTTCGAGCATCTATCCGATGGATGATTGAAGTAACATCAAAAGGCCATAACACCGTCGCCCTCTCTTACTCTTCCTCGTTGCCGCACCACTTCAGGTTCTTGTGTTTTCTTTTGAGGCATTCTGAATTTTTCTAACTTCAAAGATTTCTCGAGTGTGTGAAACTTGGAAGAGATATGATTGCTGAGTTGAAAATTAAAAGCTGCGCAGTGTGCCCGTGAACTAGATTGAAGTAACTGTTGAGTTTCTGATTGAAGTGACTGATGAAATTCAAAATGGAAGAACAGAAGAAATTCACGAAGTAGATTGTTTAGTAATTCTTGATGGGGCTTATCTATTTTCAAGTCTGCTAGTTGTAGTTTGTCAGAAGATTAGTGGGACCATTAGCTGCGATTGATCAATCTCTGCAACTAATAGGAATATTAAGAAAGGTCTGGTGGACGGTGGTGGGTAAGTAGAGCCTATAAAAAGCAGCCTAGTTTGTATAAGCGAGCATGAGAATTGTGATCAATCTTTGATTGGATATCGTGAGTTTTTCATCATTTTTCTCAAAAGGATAGGTTACATTTTAATTTGTATCTAGATGCATTTAACTGTAACGTATTTCGTATTTGCTGAAGGCGTATTTCAATGTTACCATTATTTGTTAGTGATGAACTTTCTCTTCTTATTTCTTACTTCCTAGTATATTCTTCACTGTACCTATAGTATACTCCCTCCAGTCCAAAATATATGCTATTTTCTACCAGCGATTGTTTGTTCATTTGAAACACTTTGTAAAAAGTCTATAGCATTAAATACCTTTGTTTCAAGTGCTTTTATTTTGGCCTAATTTGGCTTCAAGAGCTGAGTTCCAAACATTTATGCTCTGATAAAATGAGATATCAGGTGTGGGCTTTTCCTGATATGCCCCCCCCCCAAAAAAACCTTGAGTAATTTATATTGCTTTAGATTTGAAATAATGATGCATGAAAGATTTTGGCAGTGAATTTCCTCGTGTTTATAATTTTTCTTTTATCACTGTGTGTGGATAATCTGAATTAACAAGTCACCTGGAAACTTCATAGGTTTTCATTGTTTTGTTGGAAGTGTACAGCATATGCAATAGTGTGAAAGAGCAGCTCAACTTGCATATTAGTAATGGTGGAGGTGTGGTGGTCTCTGTTGGGGGCTGCAATCCCGGCTGTCATTGCAGGACAAGCTTTTAGAGTGAAGAAAAGGCATGCTGAAGAGCAGAGGCTGAAAAGTGCAAGGGGAAGGGAGAAGAGTTCTGATGACATTTTTGTGTGTGAGCGGGTTTGCACGTCAAAGAGGATGCTGAAGAAGGTCGGCTCGTTCTCGAAAGACCCCATTCCTGATACTTGTGTTACTGTCTGTGGTGTCTCTGAGCTTGATGCATGTGCTGATGCCTGTGCTCGTACTGTGTGTGTTAACCAACATCAAGTACCTAATTGGAATGACATATGCCTTCGGAGGTGCCAGAGTGAATGCCTAAAACTATCTGAATCTCATTCTTCCTAGGAATTTGCATGCAGAGAAGTATGTGTTGATATTCTGATTCGAGATTCCGAGTTTTGGAATGGTTGTTGATGTCTTTTGGCATCGTGGTAACTCCATTTTTAGTATCATTGCTAAATGCTAAATGCTTGTAGATGGGTGAGCTTATTCTGCATTATTCAGAACTATGGTCCTCAGAGAATACTGAGACAATTAGACAAAGAACAGATGCTTTTTCGGCAGTGTATCCTTTCGCAATCAACTTCTCTTCTCATGTTTGATCATTTATGTGTTGCTTGCTTTATTTGTATCCCTTGCTTATGTGTCCCTTGGTTTTGTTTCTTTTATTGGTTTCAGTCTGCAATGCACGCACAAGCACTTACATTGAGAACTTTTATTGTTTAACGTATATTATATATATTCTCAGGGAAAAAAAAAAGGAAGGAAGAGAAGAAGATTATTCAATTTCTAGTTGACAATCAAACACATTCAAAATTACTGAAATCATGCAGATATTTGGGTTAGTTTGGAGGGTTCCGGTGTATTATAAACTTTGTTCGGCAGTGTCAATCCAGCAATGTGTCGCTTAAATGACCATACAGGGGGAACTATCATAGAATGTAGTAGTTAGCTTTGGCAAGGTGTTCTCCAATCCTAAAGTATGTATTTGAAGATTCTGTTTTGGAGATATTTATGCTTAAAATTTTTTATTTTAAATATACAATTTTTTTTTCAAAAAGTTATGATTTAAAATTTAAACTTTGCTTGCAAAATTGCAATTTATTATGACTTTAAATAAAAAAAAACTTCAAGTATTTTCATATTATATTATAGTGGTGTTCACGGGACGGAATCGAGATATCTTTATCCCATGTCTTGCCTCAAAAAAAGATTGAGATTAAATTTTTATTTTGTATCCCGTCCCATCCCGTTCCGTTCGAAATTGGGATGAAATCATCATTCTGATAAATCAGATAATGTTAGAGAAAGATTTGAATAATAATATTTATTAAAATTTTAAATCATATGATTTATTAATTTTAAAATTAAAATAACATAAGTACATAAATTACAACAATTTAAAATTAATTATTGAATTATACTAATTATAGTTACACATCATGATAGCAATTACAAGTTATCTTTAGAGTATAAAAACAGCAACAACAAACAAATCAAGCATAACATTAAATTATTATTATTTTACTTTAATTGAGATGTGTTAAATTAATTACTCTTTCAAAAATAAAGTAAGAAATGCGATATAAATAAAATTTATTAAATAGATAGATATAAGAAAAAATTATATTAATATAATTAATATATTACAAAGAATGATATCACCCAATTTATTCTATGTCATTAAAATTGTTAATATGAAAAACTTTAATTTTATATAATAATTACAAGTATTGAAATTATAATTGATACAATTAATATAAATATAAATTATATTAATATAATTAATATATTTAATGTATATTTTTAAAATAAAAAATTATAAAAAATTTTGTGAGAGAGAGAGAGATTTGGGAAGCGACATGACATTCTAATGATAGTCCCATATCTCATCGCATTCCAAACCCTTTTTCCATTCCGTCTCACAAAGTTCCATTTCAATTGCTTTTGAGTTAGGATGAGACCCATCTATATATAATTGAGATGATATTAGGCCAATCAAAATAGATATAAATTGAACACCCATACTATATTGTATTGTAAAGTGAATGAATGAGAAAAAAATTGAAGGGCTAAAAATAAAGTTAAAGGACATTTTTGCATTTTCAACTATTTGTAGAATATGCTTGATTTATGAGTGAATTTTCTTTTTCATACTAATTATAAATATATGAAGGATGACTTCAAAATTTCACAAAAAGCCTCATAAATTATTACACTATTTTAATTTATAATTCAATTACTATAAAAAATATATTTATTTAAATCTTGAACACATTAGTTGGGTTGTAAATTTTTGAAGTAACATAATTTATCACACTATTTAAATTTATAACTTAGTTAATGTGAAAAAGCACGTTTACGTATAAAACTCTAATATATTAGTTGAACTGTTAATTTTTTTAGGGATTCATAAATTTCAGGGGAAGACTTATAAATAATAATATTATTAAATTATTAAATATTAAAGTATTAGTATTTTAGCGAGACATTTTTGAAACAAATATATTATATTTCCTTACTTACCAGGTTTGCCAAAAATGGTGATTCAATAATCACTCCACAGCCAATCAAAGTGATTGGTCAAAGTGATATCTTGAATTTTTTATACATGTAAGAAATAATAGTTGTCTCTTACTCCATTAAAAAATATAAGGCATTTTTTGAGAAATTAAATGTTAAAAAATGTAAAACATTTTTAATCTTTCAAGGTGTAATCATTGTCTTTTTTTTTTTCAAAAGTGTCCCTATTGATAATGACTTTATATTTATTGTAAGGTGTTTAATAAGAATAAATATGAAAAAATAAGGTTATTTAAAAACTAGATAATTACTTTATTAAGGAGTAAATTTTGATTAAAAATACTTTATATTTTTAAACGGAGGGAGTAATATTTATTCATAATCTAGGGAACTCAATAGACATTTGTTTTCTTATAAGGTATAAGATAATTTTTGGATTTTTTGATAATTTTCTAGATCTTTTTTATAATTTTTGTGATCATAAAAGTTAAGATTTGTTAATAGTGAAAGCAACATTGTATTGTTTCTAATTATTTGAGGAGAATACTGCATCACAAAAAAAAAAAATGTAAAATACCAGAAGTTGAGAAGCAAAAATACTTAATTACAAATTTTGAGGTAGCTGTGGTCATGTTTGCCCTAAATTATAGTGTATATGCTGAGGCCACTGCTAGTTCTACATGTGCTTGTAAAAAAATTTCAAATAGCCTTTTCTCATTGTAAACAGAAGTCTTACATGATAATGTTATCGCATGAGCAGATTCAAAGTTCTACTGAGTGAACCAAAATTCCAATGCATGGTCAGGTTGATAACAAGTCTTCAAATAAATTTAACAAATTCGTGTCAAACAAAACGCATGGAATTTCACAACTCAGTAATTTTGTACAACAGTTCCCCCAACCATAGAATTTCTGATCAGCGTCAAGAAGCTGGTGTTCATAGAGAAGATGTTGGGTATAGCAGCTTCCCAGTAAAGCAGTCTATTTATATACACCAGATGAAGCTTCATGACCTCAGAAGGGCTAATTGCTGCAGATAACAAGTCAAGCAATTGTTTCCAGCTATACATTCATCCTTTAACGCTGGACATTGAAACAACAGTCACATAAAACCTTCATAACAAAATATAATATGAAAGCCATGCTATTTGTAAAGTGTAAACCACTAAATGTGTGGCTCATCTGTTATCCCAGACTCAGTATGAACAAAGGGCCCAAAAGCATGTCATTAAATGATTCAGGCATAAGGAAATTTTCAAAATTGAAAAGGGAATCTAAAGTTCCCTCCTGAGAACACAGACACTTAGGCATCATATAATGTACGTACATGCAATGATCTGGAAATGTAAGAGTAGGAACCAGGTGTCATCCAATGGAGACTAGATCCTTATCATCACGTGAACATACATTATATGGTAAGCACGAACATGCACTAAATTAAAACATAACTTACTTAGCTTTCTCTGCTGTATCTTCCTCTGACTCCTCAGTCGTGGTAGAATTCAACGCTGTTATCTTCCCAAAGGACTCCTTTGCATCTCCAAAGAAGTCTTTCACTTTATCAAGTACAGTTTTAAGCTTATCTTTTGTAGGAAGCTTCAATTTGGAAATGCAAGCACAGCAAAATATTACGGGGGAATATCATAAAATGGTATCTAACTAAAGAGCAAACACTTTGAAATGTGCATGCACAAAACTAAAAGCCTCTAAGGTTCACATTTTAGTGATAACGAATCAATGATAATGGACATTTGCCTCGATGGGAATGTTAGCAAGCAACATCTTCTGTTCATTACTTTTATTAGGGTTATGGAAAAATGTAACAAAAATACAACATGATAAAAATCTGAGGAATATTACCTCAATAACATCTGAAGAAGAGAGTGCAGCTCTAATATTGCCATTTTCCTGCAAATTTATTGCATGAAAAACTAACATAAATAAAAAGGTCTCTTGGTTATCACATTGGTGAAAGCAAACATCTCCGTTGCTCAAATGATTAAATATGGAATCTGTAAAATCCTATAAGAACATTACAATAAGTTTGTAGCCATATCTGAAATCAGTAGCATTGCGGAGCACTCGGTGCTGCTTGAATGCAGTTTTCTGTATTTCCTTTTCATCCTATTTGAAGTTTAGCAAGCAGTCAGTAAGATAGAGGAAGTAAAGCATTATGATGATTTTATAAGATCTCAAATAAGCATCAGCCCTGCAGCATAATAACTCTCAAATGAAATTTGTAAGTAAACGAAATTAATGCATCTTCTGTCAATTGATTCAGCAATAATTTTACTAAAGAAGTCCATAAATGAAGATTGGTACTGACAATCCATGCCTTCCAAATTCATAATAGACGCTTTTTGAGACAATGCAATAAAGCCAACCAAAACATATGCATAATGATATGAATGCAAGAACTGCACAAAGAGCACAGATTTAGCAGCATATCAACTTTACAATGAAATAAAATGTTGTAGAACTCGTACATTTCTCGCATTCAGTAATAAGTTTCACTGAACAAGTTCAGGCATGCAGATTGCCACGACAAACTGAAAATGCATGTCTTCCATGTTCATATATAGGTGATACTTGTGAGTTGTGATACTGCAAGAAGGCTTCTTTTTATGTCTAAGATGAAAAAGCTCAACAAGCAACAAAAACAACCAGTTTCATGGCACCAATGAATTCAACTTTCTGAAGTTTTTAAGTCAGAGTTAATAATGTCATTAAAAAACTAGTATATCAGACAAAATGAGAAAGAACCTACCCGGTAAATAACTGCTGCAAGATTCCTATCAAGGGTATCTTTGTAAATGTATTTCCCCAAAAAATTATCTTTTGCAGCAACCATGATTTTAGCAGTGGTTCCACCAGTTACTATGCTAAGAGGGTACCAAAGATACACCTGACGAGAACGATAAATTAGATTGAACTCCAATGAATGAGAGGGCAAGCAGAAAAAAGATCACAATTTAATCAGCAGCTGAAATAGAAGCCCTGATCGAATGCCATAAGATAGATCAAGCACAAATCCAAGGGTTACAATAATCAAGTCGACGATGACACCTTTTCTTGTTTGTAA